CGCTGAACATAGTGCCTAGACCATAGTATATTTTAAAAATAAATAATAATTTAATTATTATAGTTATTCAACAAATACTTATTGAGTTGTTAATGTATACCTGGTACTTGGTATATGATAAAATACAGTGATAAAACAAGATATGACTCCCTACCCGTTAATGTGAAGGGAACTAAGTAAACAGACAACTACAGCACTTTGTGGAAGAGACTGCCTATATGTGGCTGTGTCAGCACTAGAGAGACATGGAAGAGGGGCCCCTGGGTTGATGGGACAGCAGGGATGGCTGGTTAGAAAGAGTTGCAAGGGCTGAGTAGCAGTTGTCCATAAGAATGGATGGCTGGGAATGGAAAAAGAAATGATATTCCCAGCAGAGTAGTTGCGTGCAAAACCCCGGGGGGTTCAGGAAACTGCCAACAAAGTGCAGAGTTAGTGAAAAGGATGGAGGGATAATGCTGGAGAATTATTCCAGAGCAGATCTTGGAGCACCTTATATGAGCCTAAGGAATCTGGCATTTATCGCAAGGGCAATTGGAAGTCATTAAAAAGGTTTAACAGATTGGTTTATGGAAACTAATATTCTGGTTGCATATGGTTTCGAGGAATGAGGGAGAACAATCAGGAGGGGTTTTTTTTTAAATAATTAAGGCCAAAAATAAGTGTCTTAAAATAAGGCAGCCAGCAGTGAGAATGGAGAAAAGTTAGCATATTCAATAGCTATAAAGTGTAATCAATTAGATTGGAGGGTTCTTAGATGTAGCAGTGAGGGAAAGGAAGGAATTAATAATGATTCCTGGGCCGATACCACGGCCATTTTTTAAATAGAAGGGATCCAGGAGGAAGAGCTCAGGTCTGGTAAGTAGAGGTGAGAGGAAGAGGATAAAGAATGTCAGGCTGCACAATGAGAGACTATGGACTCTGAAAAACAATCTGAAAGGTTTTGAAGAGGTGGGGGGGTGGGAGGTTGGGGGAACCAGGTGGTGGGTATCAGAGAGGGCACGGATTGCATGGAGCACTGGGTGTGGTACAAAAACAATGAATACTGTTATGCTGAAAATAAATTTTAAAAAATGATTAAAAAAAATAAAGAATGTCAGGCTGCAGGTTCATAGACAATCTGATATTAGGTCACAGATCTCCAGACTGTTGGCTGACATTTCTTGCTCCACACCAGTGGTTCTCAAATTTTAGTCTGCTTCAGAAAGACATGGAGAGCACTTAAAAATATAGATAACCAGAACACATCTACGTAGATTCTGATTCAGTATGTGAGGAATGAAGCCTAAGCGCCCGTATTTCTAACAAGGTATTTTTCCAGTCATTCTAAAACACATCAAATACTGAAAACAATTGTATCTCACTATGCAGGAGCTGTCTATTTTGACTTGTTTGTCTTGAACCATTTCCTAGTTATGTACTTCATACAAAAATAAATCCAAATGTTCTCCACATATTACCAAAGGCTTCCCTCTTCATAGGGTGGTCTGTGCTTGGTTCAGGGAAGGGGGTTAATACAGGAAAGAAGCTATTGTAATTGAAAACGTATCTGAAATCCAGATTGGGAGTAATTTTAAATTAATCCTAAAGTAAATATATTAGCTTCTCAACTTTTCTAACTGTAAAGGGGAGAAAAGAACAGGGCAGAAAAATGAAAATTTTCAGACTCCAGTTATTAGAGAAGGAAATGAAAAGAAGGTGGAGAAAGAAATGCCAAAAATAAAACTGGGAACAAAGCAAAAATTGCCAGGAAAATATATGGAAAGCAGACTATCTTTTCATTCTGTGCTTTAACATAGTATAGTGTTATCTTTTTTCTATTGCTTTATTTTTAGTTATTCTAATGCTTTTTTGTTTGAATTTGATACAGGACATGCTAGGAGATTTGTTTACTCCCATAGAGACACCAGAAGCTCAAAACAGAGGCTTTCTCAAGGGACTGTTTGGTGGAAGTGGACAAACATTTGACAGAGAAGAACTCTGTGAGTAAACTCCTGATTATGAAACTGTACCACAGAAGACCTATTTCTGTGTGTGTGTGTGTGTGTGTGTGTGTGTGTGTAACTTAATGTAATAGGTGGTTTCAAATTCTAGACTAGGGGTTTTTTTTTGCTTCTATACCATGAAAATTATTTTTTTTCCAAACATAAATAAAATCAGTTGCTTCATATTAGGAAATAGTTTAACAAAAAACAGTACATGCAGTTCAAACAAATAATGAGTAAGCTAATAAATACATCATTTGCAAATAGATCATACCTGCAAGGCAAGGTGAAGGTAGTTGCTAAATTCTGGAAAAAATGTTTATGAATCCTCCTGCCTTTAACAACTGCTGGGAAGCAGATTCTCTATTCAGAACACAAAGTTTATCAATGCTACAGAATAAATTAAAATTCTTCCAGTAAACTCGATGAATAATCAAAAAAGAGTAGAAAGACACTAGAGAACAGTTTCAGAAAGAATCTATTTCCCAGAATATCTCAACCCTATTTGGTCCTGCAGATCAAAATTCCTTTTCCCTTGAACTTTTAACTACGCAAAGGATCTAGGTGCCTCCATATGATGGACTACTACTCAGCCATAAAAAGAAATGAAATTTGATACATGCTACAACAGGGATGAAACTTGAAGACATCATGCTAAATTAAAGAAGGAAACAAGGCCACATATTGTATGATTCCATTTATATGAAATGTCCAGAATAAGCAAATCCATAGAGACGGAAAGTAGATTAGTGGTTGCCAAGCACTGGGGCAAGTTGGGAGGGGGAGTGACTGCTAATGGGCACAGAGTTTTATTTTGGATTAATGAAAATGTTTTAAAATTAGATAGATAAAATTTGCACAGCTCTGTCAGCACACTAAAACCACCGAGTTATACACTTTGTGTATATAAAGTATGTGAATTATAGCTCAATTAGACTTTTTAAAAAAAAAACCTTTTGATATTATTTCTAATATTACATCCTTGAGAATGCTCACTAAATTTCTACCAAGATAGCTGTCTTTCAATAAAAACTTCCCAAAAAAATCATTGAAATTAAACTGAACTTTGTAAATGACAGGAAAATTTTTATTCTTTTATAAAGTAACAAAATTTCAACATATGTATACTAATGTCCATCATGCACTCCCTGTTCTCTAGTATTTACTCCCCCCCACACACACATATCTTAAAACAGGAACAACAACTGAGGCCTACAAAGAATGACAGCAAGATGAAGAGAGATGTTAAGAATGAAGACCTGGGCAGAAATTTAAACAAATGAACAGACCTAAGTTTGGAACAGACCCTGATATGGGTTAAATATGAGATCACATATATTGTGAGCATCCCAATTCAGCAATGTCAAGAAATGCAATGCCATAGAAGAAATGCAATGCCATATTGCATGGAATCCACATACATATACACAAAGACAGGCAGTAAATATACGGTTACTTCACAGTATCAGACTCCTTCACAGACATTTTCGTGGGTAAAAGCCAGCATCTCCAAACATACATCCATGATAGGACCAAATATGTCTCTCTCTCTCTCAGTGAGAATTATGACAGAATTTAAGGTAAGTGTTTTGGTGATAAACTTCATCCTAATTACTTTAATTACTGACAATATGTCTTAAATTGCTATGGCTTGAATCCCCAGTTGGGGAAGCTTCAGCGGGAAGAGCATCTCGCAGCCTTGCACAACACATTCCCGGACCAGGTGGTATAGAAGGCATGAAAGGTGCTGCTGGAGGGGTGATGGGAGAGCTGACACGCGCTCGGATCGCACTTGATGAGAGAGGACAGAGGCTAGGAGAGCTGGAGGAGAAGACTGCAGGCATGATGACCAGTGCAGAAGCATTTTCCAAACATGCACATGAGGTAAATGGCTTAATATAAGCATCTCCATACAATAATAACTTGAAACACTGGGCCTTGCACAAGAAAGCCCAGAGATACCACTGTAAATAATCCTGTGTGAGAGCCAGAGTAATCTGGATCTTGTTATAAGTATTATGATTCCCCCAGTATTTGGGAGAAAAATGTTTTAAAATACTATATTAATATTTCTTTACCTTAGGAGATAATCTAAAACAAAATTATTCATTGGTTCTGATACATTGGGTCTATATTATGCATCTGCTACTAAAAATGTGCTTAGGTATATTACATGATCCTCCCCGCTCAACCAAAAAAGGTGGGAGGGGTACTAGAAGCTGGAACCCACACACTCCTTTCTGCTTCAGTCATTAAAAATCAGCTGAGTCTTTACAGATTGATTATTTTTAAAAAATCTTTTCATATGTACTTTATTTCAAAAAATAAAGGAAATTTTATAAATTTTGAGATTTAGATCTGCATGATTGGTTCAATATGAGCTTGCTTTGATTAGTACTTTTAAAGATTTTTAAAAACATTTTATTGACTATTTTTTCTTGCAGTTAATGCTGAAATATAAGGATAAGAAATGGTACCAATTCTAAACTTCTAAAGAAGCTGTGACTGCTTTGAGAAACCATTATTCAGGGAAACAAAATTTATTCCCAGCATCACTATTCAACTTGCTAGAAGCCAGTTTCTTCTACAAAATGTTCCATTACAGTCTATCTGAAATTATCATAAGGGAAATTTATTAGAGACACTGTACAACCCAAAGGCTGGAACCCTGGTTAAAATCCCAAGACACAGCTGAATTTGCCTTTTCCTAACGTGGAATGGAGCTATCATTTTGGCATGTTGTTTGCTAAGGATTTAAATTTAGGAACTATGGGGAGTCCTTCTGATTTGAAAAAATCCTGTACAAACAAAAGCATTAATGCACTTAATGAAAAAAAAAATCTTTGCATGATAAATTAACATCTTAAGAGGAAAAGAAAAAAAAGCATGTGTGACAGAAGAAAAAAAGATTATGACAAACTATTTTTATAAATTGGGCCACACCTGACAATTTAAAAAATCTGTATTAGAAGATATCAGTGTATTTCAAGTACATTTGCCATACCCAACAGAAAAAGAAAACTCTAGTTTTCTTTTCATCTGTAACTTTCATTATACTAGCACATTATTGAATTCTTATGGGAAGTCTGATTGTTTGTCTCTCCATAATATTTTACATCATCACCATTATGAGTCATAATTGAGTATTGCCAGGATAGTAAGTCATTCCTAAGAGCTATTTCCATTTGTCACCTTCAGAACAAGTGGTTATTTTTTAGTCATAAACCATGCAGGGTTGGGTCACCTCAGCCTGGCTTGTGCTCTGCAGGGGAGTTGATGATTAAGTTTGGGGAAACTAGACTACAGAAACAGTGCAGTTATCTTTGAGAACTGATTTCACACACTGTGATTTCAGTTTCTAAAGGGATAGATTTTTAATGCTCCATTTGTATCTTTGTCTGCCAATCACACAGTATATTACTGTTCCAGCCCAGTAGTGTCTTCAATCCAAAGGTGCTCTTGCAGCCTGACACTCACAGACCAAACTGGTCATTCTCTTTAGTATGATTCAGTAAAACCTCAGTAAATGTTTTGGGAAAGGGATTCTGATTTATTACATTTCTGATTAACAAGGGCTTTCATTAGTAAATACTTTTTAGTTCAATACTTATTATTGAAAATCTTTGTAAAATGTGCTATTTTTGCTATCTTGGCCTTAGTCACCATTATGGGCAACAGAAATACAGAGTTTAATGATACAAAATGAATAATTTTGTCACTCATTAGGCTAAATGATATAAGCCACAAATTATGTCAATAGATACCAAACACCTATTCCTTGTTAAAAACACTTTTAAAAGTGAAGTAAGGGATACCCTTAATATGATAAAAGTTACCTGTCATAAAAGCGAACTCTAGAGACAAAAGTAAATAAATAAAGACACCTGCTATTATTATTTAACATGATTCTAGAAGCTAAAAGTCATAGAAAATGAATATATGCAGGTTCTAGGACCCATCCTGTAATATGTTGTTCCTTCAAAGAGAATTAAAAAAAAAAAATAATGTGTGTGACTTAATGAGTTTTGATTATTCCAGGTCTTATTAGATATATTTTTGTGTTTCCTAAGAATTCACCATTTTTTCTGAAGTCCAGGTTATTTTAGTATCCTAAAGTAGTATTTAGTTCTTTTTTTTTTTTATTTTTTTAATTGTTAGTGTATTTTTTTTTGAAGTGGCACTTCCTTTAAATGTTCTCAGTAATTTTGAGAAGAGCAAAGATGATAAAGTCAGAAAATATATATCAGGAAAGCATTTCTCAGAGTCCTTGAATTCTCCTAATTTCTCAAAAAAAGCTTCTCCATGAATCTCACCACTCCTGAGAATAGCTTTAGAGTAACCAAACCTGATTTGAAAATACAAACATCGCATATAAAATTATGCAGTAAAAATATTAAAGAAACCTGGGATCAAAATTTAGAACACAATGGTACCCAAATTATAGTACACTATTTATACCTCAGTTTTAAGAATGCAGTTTTCTGATTTTCTGTACAAATACTTTATCATTTCTGTAATTCAAAGAAAAGCTTAAAACATTTAGAGAAAAATATTTTTTTAAGAACAATTAAATTCAGTCCATAGTGGCATCAACTTCAATGACTATCTCTGAAGCCCTCCATAAGATTTGATTTAATTTGTTCTATATTTTGTTAATAGTTCACTATTAATAGAAAATTCTTTGTTATTGGCGACTGCCCTTTACACTGCAGAATGCTCAGCAACATCATTGGCCTCTATCTTCTAGATGCCAGCAGCAAGCCCAGAAGAAAACCAAAAATATCTCCAACCATTGCCAAAATTGCTCCCAGTTGAGAGCCACTCTTCTACATTATTTAAGGACAGATTAAATGTGAATATATATGTCCTGCATAAAATTAAATTATCACAAGTGCACAGTACCTTAAGAAGATAAATTATTATACCCAAAATTACACATGTGGTTCATATGCAATAAAATCCTATTTTGGAGAAAGCTTATGCAAATCAGTGGAAAATAACAATTACAGAATATTTTAAAGCATACAGAGAAAAACACCAAAAAGAACATAGCATTTCACAGAAGCATTTAAAACTCTGGCTCTAATGAATAGATCAAATGCTTAGAATTAGCATATCAAGTGGAAGTAAACAGGTGCTTCTGAAATGCTTGAAAAGAATAAATTCTTTTTAAGTAGTTTAAATATGTCTTTCAGTGTTGTTTTTAAAGACCCTTCTTAATGTAAGGTAACTTCATCTCCTGAACTCCTGATAGTGGAATACAAATTAATGAGGTTTTACTGTATCAGAATTATTTTTATAATTCAAAGAGATAGCAATAACAAGAATCTGATGTGGATGTGATTTTTCTCTTTAAACATGTCTATTCTGTTGCACTGACCTTAGCATGCTTGTGCATGCGCATACACCAACACAACCACCACCACCATCTTATCATCATCATCTTTGGAAAATGAGTACTGTTGAACCATGTAATTCTTTACATCTCTCTTCTCTATAAGTGTCTTGCCTCTATCTTGGAACAAAAGAAAAATACTCCTAGTAACTTGGATAATGATAGAGAAAATGAGCCTTTGTTATCAAAATTACATTATATCTACTATGGTGGCATCAGAAGATAAGGCTTGTAAACCACAGTCTCCAAGCTGACTATCTCCCTATGACTCCCTCAGGAGATAAGCCCTTCTTATATGTTCCAGGAGAAAATGGGTTTTTGCACTCTATTCACCAAAATGAAGCTAGAAGTATTTGTTTTCCTGATTCTAATAATGTGAGCAGTAATCCCTACCATGAAATCATCCATTAACCTTGGTGTTTGGAGGGAAGGATGATTATGATTTATTTTAATTCCCTACAAAAGTAGTACTACTGACTTTGCTTCCTATACTTGAGACTCAGACTTAGTGCCCCAATCACCATCAGGGTCATCATCTAACTTTGGAAGAACGGTGATAGAACTGAGAGAGATGTTGTCTGATAATTTCATCATAAAGACAATTTTTCAAATCTTTTATATAGCCTTGGAGTGATTCTCAAGTTAATAAATCAGAATCCAGATTTCTATTCCTCAAAGATCTTAAGGAATTATAAAAGGAAAAAGTTTGCTGTTGGAGTCCCTTTTTATGTGACCTCTGTGTCCAATTTTAAATATGCCATCTATCTGTTATCTGCATCAAGGGATCTCCAGGGCTTAGAGAAAGAAAAAGAGAGAGAGAGAGATTATGCCTAAGGTTGGCTGAAGAAGATGAAGATGAGCTCTTTTAAATACTTGGTTATAAAATGTTTGGCAGAGGGGAAAAATGAAAAAGGTTTAGAAAAGTAAGCTAAAATCCTCTCCTTGGTTTAGGATCATTGGGACAACCCAGGAGAATATCTGTGAATACAGTCTGGCTCTACAGAAAGACATTATAACTTGACTACTTTCTTTGAGAGGGCAATGCCGAAAGGACTCAGACATTTCTATCAGGCTTTGCTCTTTGCATCAGGAGAAAAGTAGTAGCCTTCACAGCTTCCTTACCTTTGTCTTCTGTAACACCAACCCCATTACTGACTACATACTATTTCAAATACACTCTGTTCCAGGTGCCAGAGATACTTGTCAACAAGTTATGTTTTCTGGATGGCACCATTTCAGGGAGTATGGTTGTTGTGTAGCAAGTTTAGTGTACATATTTGCCTATAACATAGCTCTAAAGGGATACAATGCAGAAGATAATGTCTGACTTTGGAAAGTAAGAGGAAGTGCCAATTTGGTGCAAGAGGATTGGGATGGGGAGGGACACGGGAACCAGAGTTAAGTGGAAGAGGTTTTGATGAGAAACAAGAGGCACAGATGGCTGCTTTGATTTATATATTTATGTAGGGAACTGATTCTCAACCTTGGCTGTACATGCGAATCTCCTTAGGTGAGATTCTAAGGATTGAGATTAGTGAGATTCTTAAGGAGCTTTTAAAATCCCAATTATATCAAAATCTCTTGGAGTGGGAACCAAACATTGTTATTTTTGAAAGCCCCCAACATGGTTCTAGTGTCAACCAACACTGATAAACACAGCTTTATGGCTGATTAAGGAAGACACATTTGTCTCCCTTGGCTGGTATCCAAGCCCCACTTCTGAGGAGTTGTGGAAGGCAAGATGCAAGAGATACAGTGTTGTCTGGATTGAGAACTATTGTATTGTAACCCAAAATAAATCTTCTGTGCAAATTTCTGACCAGGCAGTGCCCCACTGACTTATAATAATTCTGTCTCTGTGGTTTTCTCCCATGTGACTTCACCATCATTCCAATTCAAACATCTAGGTTTTTGATTGTCTTATACATGTGACATCACAAGACACCAGAAGAAATATAAGAAACTCAACAGCATGTAAAGCTAAATGGAAAACTAATCCTTAATAGTTGGATAGTGGAAATTAAAATAATCATTTATTAAATCAGGCCCAAATTTATTATTCATTCTTCATTTGGAGGAAACATGGGTACTAGGTACCTGTTCTGCCATACCATATTTTATTGGACTTGATCTTAGCAAGAAGGAAGAACAGCAGTTCCTTTTTGATTGTTGTCTTAGCTCCCAGGGCCACTTGGATTTTTTTTCTTAGTTATTGGATATGTGTTTAAAGGAGGAAGAGTGTCTGTAACTCATTATCTGGCCTCCAGCACCCTGAGAGACTGTTTTCACCTTCAAAAAGGGAGAGTCTGCCTATCCAAGGCAATAATCCTCAATGAGAAAATGTGAGAGTTTTCTCTTCTCTTACTGCTCCCCTCTGGTATTGGCCTGTGCTTCTCAACTGCAAAGCCAGAAAATAAACTTAAGTGGTGGTCATGGACAAGTATACACAGAATCAAAATCTCTAATAATCTGTAATTTTTAGTACTTAATTATGTGATGTTTTATTCTAGGAAATAAGAAACAGATGACATCATTGATGTATCTTTCTTTCATCTTCAGAATTTTTGCATCTTTTCAGAAAATGACAAATTACTATTTTTCTGTTGCACTCAGCAATTGTGACTATACTTAAAATTCTTGTAGTCTGTAGAGATATCAATAAAATTGTATATGTTTGTACATAGATGCTCTTATGTTATGATGTCATGCACCACTAAACATTTTACCAAGATTAAATATGGGCAGAGGGAAGATTTTCATCTGCAACACTATGAACCATGGTTTTGAAAGTATACTTGTTTTTAAAAGGCAGAGAGGTGGGTGGGGGAATGATGTACAACACATTTGTCTGAACTAAAAAAAAAACAGAAAGAAAAGACTAAACACAAGTTCTCTAGAATCACAGATTTTGCTAAAGTATATTCTCCAGATTTCAAACTGGGGAGTTGTGTAACTTTTTTATGGATGTTTTTACAGACAATTTTTGAGCATGTTGATTGATTAGACCTTTGGTGAATTAGACCTTTGGTGAATTACAAGTAAAACTAAGTTTGGTGAGGGTACAGAGTAAAAATCTGAGACTGAGTAAGATATACTTACAAACCCAATACTCATACCTTACTTCTTGACTCCTTTAAAGCTCAGGCTTTAATCTCATCCAGGCAAAAAACATAAACCATTATGAGCTTATATCACTTCCTAGTGGTTATAATGAACACTTGTTAACCCCACAACCTCCAAAAGTCCCCCAGAAAGACATTGCTCACCTGGCTTTCATCTGCACAGTTAATTCCTCTTCAGACACTTTCTTTGTATTTACCTATACTGCGGTCTTAGCCAGTTAAGCTTATTCTACCATAATTAGCATTTGGTAGTTTGCTAATTATCTCAAGAAGATTTTCCCATCACCACAACTTTCCTCCTAGTTTTGGTTCCATATAAAATAAACAAACAAAAAAACAACCAACCAATCTGAAGCTAAGAAATGTTTCTCAATCAAAAGTGCAAATGTAAAAACAGACCCTTTAAAAGCCAAATGTTCAGTCTTCTCTTCAGAATTTTCTCAAAAGTATCCTCACTTTCTTCGAACAACAATCACTCAGGCTTCACATACCGAATTCAGTATTTAAAATACTGATATGACTTCCTTCCTTCCTTCTCCTCACCCCTTCTTTCCTCCTTTCCTGTTTTTCCATTCATTCAGCCCAAAAGTCAATCAACCTAAGCAAGTTGTGGGTGGCAGCCCCGTACAAGGAGTGCATAGTAGCAGGGTGAGTGTGACTGCCCAGAGGACAGAGCTGGAGTGAGGCGGCTGACCTGCAGTCAGTGTTCAGGCAGTCAATGATGATGGCCTGTGAGAAAGAGGCACCGGAGCAGTGCAGAAGGTAACCCAGCAGGTTGGCAGATTAGGACTGAACAATTAAGTGACTATCTTGAGGATACAGGATCCAGGTTTCTCACTGATGGAGAAGACAAATAAAAAGGAATGTGAGAATAAATCCTCTATTATTGGATTAGAATTGGAACTATCAGTGTAAGTTTTATGTGAATACATAGATACACATATATCCATGACGTGCGTGTTGTTCACAAAGACATATTCTATTTCTGAATGCTAAGAGGACCGGGAACACAACCCCAAAACCAAAAAATGCTTGGATTTTGATTGTCAAGAAATAGCTGGTTTCAAGGCTAGACTATATATTTTTATTCCAGAAAATAAAATATTCAAAGAATGGTGGGAATGTGTCCAAAGGACACAGAAACTAGCTTGAAAGGGCCCACACAGGTCAAATCAAGGATAATTTGATTATCAAAAGTAATAATAGTAATTGAATAAAATAGCTAACCATGGGGAGCCTGGGTGGTTCAGTTGGTTGAGTAACTGCCTTCAGCTCAGGTCATGATCCCAGAGTCTCAGGATCAAGTCCCGCATTGGGCTCCCAGCTCCAAGGGGAGTCTCCTTCTCCCTCTGACCTTCTCCCCTCTTATGCTCTCTCTCACTATCTCTCAAATAAATAAATAAATAAGCCTTTAAAAAAAAAGAAAGCTAACCATGAGTCTACACTGATGTTAATTAATTAATTAGGAAGGGAAAGCTCATCCTTACAATAGAATGTCCACCAATCAAGTGGATAGAATTTTTAAATTACTCTGTCAGTCACTGTAGAAATTAGGGGCAATAAACTAATGAATGCTAAAACTCCTGGGTTAAAATGGAATGAAAGAACAAGATACTTACATAGTCCCAAAGTATCTTCACAAAAACTACTTGTTAATCAAAAAAAAAAAAATTTAAACTACAGAAACCTGGTAGACACATTTTTTTTAAAGATTTTATTTATTGATTTGACAGAGAGAGACCACAAGTAGGCAAAGAAGCAGTCAGAGAGAGAGGGGGAAGAAGGGTCCCCACCAAACAGAGAGCCCGATACAGGGCTCAATCCCAGGACCTTGAGATCATGAACTGAGCTGAAGGCAGAGGATTAACCCACTGAGCCATCCAGGCACCCTGGTAGACACTATTTTAAACAAGTGATCTAAGTTACCATCACCAGTAAGGGAACAAATCAACATTATGTGTCATCTGACAGCATGCAATAAGAAGACATCACCTCTGTAATAATTCTGCCGAAAATACACAACCCAGGTCTAACCATGAGGAAATATTGGACAATATCCAATTGACAGGCATTCTATAAAATGACTGCCTTGTATTTAAAATTATCAAAGTCATGAAAGTCAAGGAAAGATGGATTTAAGATTTAAGGAGACCAGAGAGTCATGACAACTGCGTATAACATGTGATCTTGGATTGGACCTTTTTGCTCTAAAAGCATAATTGCAGCAATTCACAAAACTCACTTGTGGGATTCTTGGTACTATTCTTGAAACTTTTACTTACATTTGAAATTACTTCAAAATAAAATTATAAAAATAAAATGCTTTCAATTTTGTCGAATTACTTGCGTTTCAATGACATTGTCTTCTACCTTTCATAGTAAATGGACAACTGATTTGGGGGTTTAGAGTAGTTTTTCAAGACAGTTTGGGAAGCCAACCATTTTCAAAAATTTTTCTTTTAAAAATGTGCTTTAATTACTCAAATAATACATGAATATATACATTTATAATCACACCAAATAATAAAGACAAAATAAAGTGAAAGTTTCCCTCAGTTACCTCCTACCCTTTTCTATTCAGTTACTAGTTTTTTTTTTCCTTCCAAATATTCTTCTGTGCTGCAACTTGCTTACTCATGTACCTGTTATGTCTTAGATAACTTTCTACCATCAATATTTATAAATATCACTTAGCCTTTTTAACTTATATTATTCCATGGTGTCCATAAAGCATAATTTCTTACCATTCCTCTACTAGTAAACATTTAGATATTTTCCAGTCCCTGGATATTACAAATAAGACTGCAATAAACATTTTTGCACATGCATTTTGCATATCTGCAAGCAGTTCTCTAGGGAATATATTGTGGAATTAAGTCAAAGTTCATGCTCAATCAAACCTCGCAAATAGATGTTGCTAATTCTTCACCAGTATACAAAAATTACTGTTTCCCTACATCTTCACCTAATCGCAATATTAATTTTTTCATAATCTAAAAGGTTGTTTCACAATCTAAAATGGGATCTTATTGGTTTTTTTAAATTTCCCTGATTAGTGAAATTGAATACCTTTTAATGTTTAATCAAACACACTTATTCTGTTTTCTATGACCTGTTTATAATTTCTAACTACACCTTTGAATAGTTATGTTGTGGCCATCCTACAGAAGACTAGATATCCCACCCAACATTTGGTTGGGATGTTGAAACTGATCCACCACACACACCCTAAGAGTGTATGAAAAATCAAGTTTTCTGGGGAGATCCATAGCTCCCAAACTGGCCAAAAATAGCTTCAGAGAATAAGGAAAAAAGACAGGCTGGCAAATTTTGTGTGCAGGATTTACAGGAAGGAGTTTGCACAATAAAGAAGGGAGCATCCAGTCCTGCTTCTCAGCTTACCCAGATATGGGGCAGAGGGGAAGAGACGGTGAGACCTAAAACGTGTCAGCAAACGGTAAAAAACAGAGTCAGACTCTTTATTATAGGTCACTTTTCTATTATTTGTTTTTATTCCAGCCCTGGAAATTAATGTAGCCTATTTGTTTTCTATAACTGATTTTTCCTTGAGTCTTCCTAAAGGCCATTCAGATAATTTCTCCCTTTCCTTTTAGCAAGACAGGCTTCCTGGTCTAGAGGAAGGCTCATTGTGACCTCATGGCAAGGGAAGGGGTGGTGGTTCTTGTGCTTCCCTGTGAGTCCTCCATCATTCATGCTATAATAGTGGCTGGTCTGGTCTACACACTTGAGCACCTTTCACTGATTTGTACTGAAGTACAATTAGTGAATGTGTGGCTTCTCTCCTGTTTGGAGGAGGGCCCTATGGTCTTCACTTGTTAATTCAGCCTCATCGAAGCTATGGATACCTTTTGGGTTCTCATGCCCTGGCCCTGGATTAGACTGCTCTGTCTTAGATGTCTGCCATTCTTTTTTCATACTGCAGATTTTCTTTTAACGTAATCAAATTTTATATTCTTTTAGTTTTATGCCTTTTAACTTTGTTTAGAGGTCTTTAGGTCTGTAAAATAATAACTCATAACCTCTTAGTTTTATTAATTTCATAGTTTTATTTTTATAATTAGGCTTTTTAATCCATCTGGAGTTTTAAAATAGAGATCTAAGTTGATATTTTAAGAAATGGATAACATATCAGTATACCCCTTTTTTTGAATGATATCCTTTTACCACTAATTTCAAATGACATCTTAATTTTCCATATACATAAATGTCTGTTTTCTAAATTCTTTAGTCTGCCCTAGTAATTATTTGTCTATTATTGTGTCCATATCAAACTATTAAATTACCTTATCTTTATAATCTGTCTTAATATCTGATAGATATATTTGATCCTTTCCAAGTTTGATAGATATTGATTTTATTTCTCAAAGTTTTAGAATATCACCTATTTTTTAAGAAGTCCTCTTGAGGGGCGCCTGGGTGGCTCAGTGGGTTAAAGCCTCTGCCTTTGGCTCAGGTCATGATCCCAGAGTCCTGTGATTGGAGCCCCACATCGGGCTCTCTGCTCAGCAGGAAGCCTGCTTCCTCCTCTCTCTCTGCCTGC